CCCCCCCCCTCCATCTTTCATAAGAACACCCCCCCCTCCCCAACCTGTACTGTACCCCCCAAAAACCCCTTCCTTTCTTCGACGCACCCTTTAGACGGGGGGGGGGGGGGTTCTTGTGAAAGAGGGGGGGGGGGGGCTTTCAGGACCCCAAAGAGGATCCTGCGCTCGCTGGCTTGCCCCTCCCCCACTCCCACTCCCACCCAGTGCAGCTGTTTTCTAAGAGGTAGTTTTGAGAACCAATGACAGTGGAGGGTTGAGTGGTGTGTGGGGAGGGGCTGCAGGGGGAGGAGCCACAGAACGGCGGGAAAAGCGGGTGGAAGGGGAGGTCTCCCTGGGCTACTACAGTGACGTTGTGGGGGGGGGAGAATGATGTGTGTGTGTGTCCCCGTCCCCCCAGGTTCAAGAAGGCGCGAAGGAGAAAGAGGGAAGTTCTGGAGAACTTGGCCCACCTGGGAGAAGAGATGGAGACGTCTCCCAGAAGGATTGTCCCCTTGAACCCTTCTGTCCTCCCCCGCCCTCTGATTCACGGGAACGAGCTGGTCCATCCTGGTCCTTGGCCTGACCCACTGACCCAGCCCTTCCCCCCACCTAAAAAAAAAAATTTATTTTGAGGATGCTGGGAGCTCCTGGTGGCACCAGGGTGAACCAGCTCTGGGCCAGGAGCACCACCCAAAAGGCTCCCACCGCCCTCAACACAAAATTATGGGAGTCGCGGGGATCGAATGACGCACTGGGAAGGAAAGACAAGCCGGGAGAAGGAGGAGCAGAACATGGAGAATGACGGTGTTGGTTGCATCTTCCAGAGCTTGAGACGGTCCTGGTGGAGGACGCGTTCAGGGCGCTGTGGAGGCGGGGAGGGGTCCTGCGGGAGGCGGTGTGGCCCCGTCGGTTGGAGGAGGCGGCGGCGGCTGAGGTGGCGGAGGATCTGAGAAGAGACAGCAAAGAAATTAAGGTGGGCATCCGGAAAGAGAGCTCTGATCTTCAAGTTGGGTTCCTTGGAAGTGCAAGAGACGATTGCGATGTCCGGCCTGGCTTGGAAGACCTGTGGTCGGACTGACCCCGAGGCCCCTTACTCACCCTCGGGTCACAGGAGGCCAAACCCAATAGGAGGTGCAGCGAACCCTCGACTCGAGGGGGCACAGGAGACAACTCCAACAGTTAATCAAGCGGAAGGGCTACCCCTTATCGGAGGAATCCTGGGTAAAGAGTAGGAACGCCCAAGCCCATCGCCTTGTGGGAAGGCTCCATGCAGAAACTCCAACCAAGCCTGGAGGGGTGGTGTGTGTGTGTGGGGGTGGGGGGTTCACAACCCTAAGTCCTATACCTGCAATACTAATTCTTTTTGCGTTGCACAGGTCACCTTCCGGAAGTGAGGGGAGCCGAATGTCAACCCATAAAACATTTCTATGGCTGTTTTAGAGTTGCCAACAGAAAGGGGTTTGAAAGAGCAGTGTGGGGGCTTGGAAATCGAAAGCGCATTCCATACTAGTTTTCAGAGATAGTAACTAGGTGACTGAAGTTTCTACCATGCGAAAATCTAACTGGAGAGGATGATGGATGACTCTGGGCTATGGGGGTGTCTCATCAGAGAATATGAATAATGATACATCCAGGGGGCGGGGGAAAATCGGGGTCAAGGGTGACAGTGAATTGTGTGTCTCAGAGACGGCCACACATAGGCAGTGCTGCCATGTTAACTCCCAATAAATAAATCCTGTTTAGTTTTGGAAGTTTGGCTTGAGACGCATGATTTAGTTGGGGTAACTTCCAAAATCCTGACAGGTGGGTTGGAACCAGTGGCGGGACGCTGCTGGCTCACACCGGTTCTAGCGAACCGGTGGTGCTGGTAAGCAGTCGGTCCTACCCCCGCCCCCTCCTCCGCTTTATTTCCCCGCTTGGGAGGCCAGCTGACTTGCGTGGCAGAGTGGACTGCTCTGCCTCAGCCCTTTTGCTCCCCAGCGCTGAATACAAGGTCAGTTTTGAAGCTTGAAATAGGTGGTTTATGGAGGCCTCACACGCGCACGAAGCGCACTCTCTGAGAACTAGTAGTAAAAAAAGGATGAATCCCACCCACTGGTCGGAAGCCACCTTTGAACATGAAGGTTTGCCCCTAAAAATGGGGACCCGGTTTCAGACAGACCAAGGACCAATTGTTGAAGGCCTCCTACCAGAGATGGATGGGTCAGAAGGTTCATTTGGGGAAGGGTGGACAACATCCATTGGATGGCTGGTAATATGCAAGAATGTGGAATTTCTCTATTATTATTTATACAGACCAAAAGTCAGCAACCTGTGGCTCTGGAGCCGCATGTGGCTCCTTCATCCCTCTGCTACGGCTCCCTGTCACCTGTCGGCTCCACAATTGATAGGGCTTTCGGTTAGGGCAGGGAGAGGAAAAAGGACGCCGTGCTAGGAGGAGACTCTATGGTGTGGGAAGCGGACTTTCGGTTGGCTCCAGGATTGAATGGGAGGCTTCTGGTTAGGATCTTTGTGGCTCTTTTGAGTGTTTGCCAACCCGATTTAGACCATTTATTTGCCGGATCCCCAGCAACGCCCTTCAAAATGGAGTTGGTGGTTTGGGGATGGCCCGTCAGGAAGCCAGGGGAACTCTCTGCCACTAGATGGAAGATTTGTAAGAGGCTGACTTCAGTTAAAAGCCAAGGGCTATTATCGGAGAGCAACAAGGCTGAAGATCAGACAACGGTTTGTCCACCATGCTAGTGGTCGTCCTCGACTTACGAGCCATAATCGAACCCAACTTCTCTGCTGCTAAGTGAGACAAATGACTCAGATTGAGGATGGTCACCCTGTCCCAGGGTTCTCTTTTTGAGACCTCCTGACCAGCAAAGTCAACAGGGAAGCCGGAGTCGCTCAACGACCAGGTTGCTCACTTGAACCACTGCAACGATTTGCATCACACTTAACGGATATGTCACTGACCAATAAAAAGGTTGGGCTCCATTGTGATGGCTAAGTCGAGGACCCGCTGGAAATTTAAGCAATAAAAAGGAAAGGAGGCCACTGAGAGTCGGGGTCAAAGAAGACGTGCTGAAGGAGAGTCGGGGGCCAATGGGGAAGACTTACACAAGCCATTTGGGGATGCCAGTTGTCCCCGGGACCCGACAATGTTTCCTGTCCCAGATGGAGGAATATTGGTGCTGCCGGCTGCCGGGGTGTTGGTGGTTCCAGTTGGCATGATGCGGCCTGGCAGGGGCTGTCCAGGTATCAGGGAACCCTGTCCGAGGATTGGACCTGTAAGGGAGGAAGATAGTAGTGAGATGTTGGAGGAAGGCTACGATGGAGGGTGGTGGCCCTTGGAGCCGCCCTTGAACCTTTGGGACATCTCTCTGTTCATGTCTCCATCCACCCACCCACCCCACACATCCATCTTCTCGTCCTCTTCATTTACTTCTTCCTCCTCTCTCTATATCTATCCACCTATCCTCTGGTCTTCTTCATCCATTTTCTTCTCCTCCCCATCCATCCATCCATCTTTTGGTCGTCATCCATTTTCTCCTTCCATCCATCTCTCCCCTCCCTCCTTCTGACCATCCACCCCTCCACCCATCTTCTCATCATTTTCATTCATTTCCTCCTCCTTCTCCATCCATCCATCCACCTTTTGGTCTTCTTCATCCATTTTCTCCTCCTATCCGTCCATCTCTCCTTCTGTCCATCCCTCCATCTTCTCATCCATTCATTTCTTCCTTCTCTTCCATCCACCTATCCATCTATCTTCTGGTCTTCATCTATTTTCTTCTTCTTCCCACCCACCCATCCTTTGGTCTTTTTCATCCATTTTCTTCATCTATCTATCTATC